ATGATTTTTTTTTTTTTTTTTTTTTGCTATGCGCTTAAAAGAATGTTTTGGTTTTTCTTTAGCGCGACATTTGAGCGAGTATCGAAATTTTGTCGATATCTTTTTTTTTTGGAACAATTTGTTATGTTCTCCTTTGGTTTTTTTTTTTCATGTGAATCCGAATATATGTCAACACTGTAGGCAAAATATAAATTGTTTGGTTATCTTACCTTTTTTTAAAAAAAAAATTATTATTTTTAACTAAACATGATGAACAATCCAAGGAATAATGTTTTAGGTTATTTATGACATTCCGTATTAGATATTAGGGTTCATAGTATAGCATGTGCATAATTAATAAATTAGCATCTCTAAATTAGGGATTTTTTTAAGTTCACGTGATAAAATGATAGTTTTGACAGAGTGAGAATTTCATATCAAATCAATGCGGTAATTTAAATTTTAATATAACACATAGTCTTAAATTTCTAATTAAATATAATTTATATATTTTTTTTAAAAAAATGTACTTGGTACTTGATCATTAATGTTTTAAAGGATCCTCTATTTCTTCATTTAGTCGATTGATTCCGAGGATTCTTTAGGCGTCTTAGGACTGTTTGCACATTTTTAGACGTGTCGGTTCAAATGAGCACACTTCTATCAACAATTAAATGATATGGTTTTTATTATTATTATATTATTATTGTTGTAGCAACTAATCTGATCCACTCAATTTACTAATCATATTCATAATTAATTGTTTTTATTTTATTTTTAAATTTTTTATTAGTTTTTAGTTTTACTCATTTTTTTATTAAACAGAGTTTGTTGATAAAAACGTCATTTTCGGAAAGCACTTCACATTTTGTTCGGTCTTATTGTTATTTTTGTATTTGATCTCGGTTTAATTTGGTTCAGTTCGATTCAAATTTTCAATTTTAAATAATTATATCCATTCAGTTTATATATATATATATGAGAAATGTTTTGGATACGTTTAATGTTTAATTTTACATAATCTAACAAAAACGAATAGTCACACCAACAAAGATAATACAAATGGAGAAACTAAAAACTAATAATTACAATCGACCTTGATCGCATTTAATTTGAATTAAATGGAGCGACGGAATTTATTTTATAGTTATTCAAATAGAAATTACCAAATTTCAGACATTATATTTGTTTTTTATACCCATAAAAAAAAACTTGAATCCATCTTTTGTCGTCGCAATTCATAAAATACTCTTTCAAACATTAAATTTAAATGTGTTTTCTTTAATTCAGTCGTCGTCTTAAAGGTTATATCATGATAATTATAAAAAAAAGAAATAAACATTATATACAAAAGTGACTCTAGGCGTAAATCTATAAGAACAATTAGGAACTTTGTATTTTCAATATGTATTATGGATAAAATATTAGATTATATGTTTAATCGTAATCTCTAGAAATGTAAATGAATGGATCCAATCCGAACCTACCAAACAACCCATCTCTAGTTCTATAAACGAGGCAAATATTCGACCTTAAACCAAATTTACAGTACGTAGAAATATATTATCAAAGAAATGAGATAAAGGGTTAATATAGAACTAAAGTGTGTGAATTTGTACCAAAAAAAAATGGAAAGAAAATAAACAAGGAGGTCAAAGTCACAAATTTAATAAAGTTGGACCAAATAGTTAAAACATTTCCATATTTATCATATGCCATTATTTATTTACCATCCATAGTTTTTGCTATAAATATATAATTTGGTGAGCTTAATAAGAAAAAATAGGGGAAACAAAGAGAAAGACATAAAAATGTACGGCACAAAAGCTTCTTCCTTTGTCCTAATTTTAGCTCTCATCCTTTGCATCGGTAAGTGCTTACGGCTTATTCATAGTACCATGCATAAAATATAAACAATTTTTGGATTCTAATAATAAATAATTTATTTTAAAAGATTTTTTTATTCCTAACCATGACATAATACTACTATATTATCAAATTTGATAATATTTCATAAAATTTTATGTTAACAATTATCCACAATATAAAAAGAATTGTCATATTAAGACTAATAACAAGTAGTTATTTTCGTTTTTAAAAATTTTTTGATAACAAATATTCGGCGTGAATATTTTATAGCAAATATTAAAAAAAAAATGGTATTAGCATTGTTCCATCTTCCCATATATATGGGCATATGCTTTAAAGAACATTTAGGTCAAAGAGATAAAGATCTTTTAAGGGCCATACAATATATATATAAATGTGTTGTACAAATAAGTGACATGATGAAGTGATAATTTTATTTTATTTTTTATAGGATCGAAGGAAATAGCGGGAGATGGACCGACAAGCAACGGCGCGTCGAGGTGTTGCAGAGAACATCCGGAGCTCGGAAGCTGCGTTCCGGGAATCGACGACGACGGCGACAGCGACGGCAGATGTTGGACGTTTTGTGCCGAAGACTGCGCGAGAGGAGGGTTCTGCAAGGCCTTCGGAAACACTCACAAGTGCCATTGTTACTGCTAAACTTTATTCAATCTTTTTTTAAAAATTTTAATTTAATAAGAAAAAAAAATAAAAATGCAGTGCTTTTCATTATTTATAACTGTGCCCTAATCGAATTTGATAAAAAAAAAAATTATGAATGGATATAATTTAAAAACAAAAACAAAAAATGAAACTGAACCGAATGAACAAAAATGTAAAAAGGCTTTAGAAAAATAAACATTTTATATATACCATTTCGATTTCAATTATTCAAAACCAATCTAATTCAAAATGAAATTTGAAGGACCTACTCTGGGAATAGTGCAAACCTTTAGACTAATCTTTCACCCTTTAGTACGTTGTTCCATGGATGAACGATGATTAGTACAAAACTTAAAAGTATCGGTTAATAGTTGAACGTCTTCGTAGTATATAAAAAAAATTAATTCAAAATGAATAATATATAACATATCGAAGGCAAGTTCGATATAAAATTTAAATAGTTATTTCTTTCTTAAAAACGAAAAAAAATCCGAATTGAACTCAAATCTATGTCTAACTTTATAAAGGGCTTAAAAAATATTCAATCTTAACACAACTTAACCCAACTTACAAGATGAAAGAAATAAAAAGAAATAAAAAATGTGATTTTAAGTAGCATCTAATAATTTAAATTTACTTACCCATTTTGGGTAATAATAACAATAAACACACTTTCGTCACGTCTGTAAATATTAACCATTGCCCGAAACAGTAATTAAAATATCACAAATGTAAATTTAACAACACATACAACAAACACATGTGAATAAAAAGAAAATAGAAACCATTGATTTAAATATCTTTTCTTCTTTCTGTTGGGTTAATATTTTATTTTCTGCAGACGATTCCAACTCCGCTGCTTCCACCACCGGTGCAATCAACGGTCCCTTGACTCGTAACAACCGTCTCGATCTTCTCCGGCGAGTCTCCGGCGAGCTGACCGGAGCCGAATACGCATCTCTTACAATCTGCTTCAAGAAGCGACGCCGTTTTGTACTTGTCCTCTCCACCCACCACCGGCATAGCTACACCTGGTTTCGCCGGATTCTCGAAATCTACTCTGTAGGTTCTTCCCAGAACACCCTCCACTCTCGGGGACAAACCCATGAACTTGAACTGAACCTCCATATGGGCAAAACAGTCATCTTCCGGTATCCGGTAGTTATGGATCCGGTCGTCTTCCTTGGTCACCGGAACTACATTCACCCAGATCTCTACCATGTCCGATAAACTGATCAAGACGCTGTTTTTGTCAGAAGTCCTCTCGACCCGGATATCGTCTTCGGGAGACTTCCACACAGATAAGTCTCTTTCGGGCAATACTACGTCGTTTCCGTTGTAAGATAGACGTAGATGGTCGACATTGTGGTCCCATTTGGCTGTTTTCGTGGCATGCAGAGTGAAAGATTGGTTCTTGGCGCCGAAGAGGATACCTAGGGCTTGGATCCAGGTGAAGTCTCGGGTTCGACCAGAGGGTCTAAGCCCGATGAAACGCGCGTTGATGTGAAGGTTTGAGTCAGAGACGAGAGAGAAATGCTCGTCGCGTTTTCCGTGGAAGTAGAAGACGATGCCGTCACCGCCGATGAAACGCGGGTCTAAGCATGCTGATCCCTTGCCGTTGCAGTTCGGCTTCCGATCTACAGAGATAACAAGTGATACGACGTCGCATCAAGATCTATACGTACATATATATATATATGAACAGTGACATATATGGCATGCAATACGTACTTCTGCAAGTGGGTTGGCAAATGGGGTTGTAGCAGTCAACGACGCAGACCTTTGAACGGCCACCGGAGGGGGTAAAGGAAGGGCATTGCCTGGGACATGTCTGCTTCTTTAAGAAACATGGACTCTTCCTCGCGTAACATACCTTTGATTCTGTCGTTGCTGCTGCTTCGGGTTGTACCATCAACCAACATGCGTACACCGTCACCGCTACGCCAAGGTACAACCCCTTCATGCACGACTTCTGTCCCTTCATTGCTTCAACTCTCTCTCTCTCTCTCTCTTGTGGAATGGGATTGAGAGATAGAGAGAGAGGAGTTCATGTGACATTCTTTTATAGAAAGCTTGCAGGCCAAGTTGGAATTTCTTTTCTTTTCGTTTCTATTAATCTTCTTTTGTTTTCACTTCATGTGTCTATTTTTTTTATTACATAATTAGCATTTGATTGAAGAAATCTAGTGTACTAAGATATATAAACTCGCACACACACCAATGCATTGACAATATATATATATATATTTGCATCCTTTTTGTGCGGTCCAAAATATTTTCAAACGTATAAGCAGCGATGCCCACATGTAGCTTGCTTGTATCAAGAGTATCTGTTAATTTTAATTTCCAGTGTCTATTTGTTTATTTTAGTGTAGAGTCGAAGGGAAAAACAATCAAAGGACTTTGATTTTTGTAAACAGTTGTGTTTGGCTAATTAAGGAAGCTTTTATATTTGTTTATTACATTTTTTGTTTTTTTAAAGATCAATCTTTTAACAATTATAACTTTTAATCTTCTCACAAATTGAAATATTATTTCGTTTAATTTAGAGAATAAAAATAAAAAAATAAGAGGTTTGTGTCGAAAATGTTCATGTGTTCGAACCTCAATAAGTCCTTTGGATCCGAATTTTACTGAGAACGAACATGGGGCTGCCCTGGATTTCCTTGGAATCTATTTTGGTCAAAGTGTATTAACAATTATGGTTACATTTTGGTCAAAGGTTATTAATTATTTGTTGGTTCTTATTTTTTTCTGAAAATTTTATATTTGTATTTATTTTACGATATTTTGTTTCAGTTATTTTATTTGAAATATTTATTTAAAAGGTTTAGTTTTATTTTTATTTTCAATTTAAACTCGGTTTAGATTTCATTAATTAAATTTGAAAAATGACATCCAATTAATTTTGAAATTGGATTCAATTCCATTATATATTATTGTGTTCCATTCTAATTTATTTGGGATTGTCGGACGTACATGGCCACTCCTGGGGTTGATTTTTTTCTTCAATATATCAAATTATTGATTTTAATCTGTGGTGGGATTTTGATTTCTAAATTTAACTGTCTTGAAATTTAAAATTTTAGGAGAAAAATAGACATCAATGAGTTGATTAAATATATATGATTTCGGACTATTAATATGTTCATATAATTATAATTAAATAAGAAATTTGAGATGATATTAAAAAAGACAAAACCACTTCAAATCACTGAAATCAGTGCAAATAATGGACCTTTCAATGAAACACTCGTTTTTTATTCGCTCTATTAGATATTTTTTTGTTGAAGGATAATTAGAATATTTGCATCTGATTGTCTAAATATAGACGTTTCAGTTTTTAAATTTTATTCATTTTTCACTACATATTGAAATATTATAATACCAATCTAAATCCGAAACGTCTACACCTAGTTTTAACTTTTTAAAACACTTTTAGAGTATTGTAGAATTTATTTTTCAAAAAGAAAGCTGATTAAATTTTTAGACTTCTAATATTTTTTCCAAATAAAAAGAATAGAGAAAAAGAAAATGTTTTCTTTACAAAATATTCTCCGTACTAATGCAGTTTTTAGAATATCAAATTTGTTTCTAGAAAATGCCCGATTCAGTTGTAGGCAAAAAGTTTGAAAATTCAATGAAAAATGATGTTAAAATGTCCAATTCACGGAAGTTAAGTTCACGGACAATTTTAAACTTATGGTAATACATATTTTTATTATACCATATACATAATTATATCAATCTAGATAATTCGTCGTGAGTTTCGTATTCTTAGTTTTGTCACTAAACTTAGAAATAAAGCCACCATTTTTTTTTCCTTTGATTTCAATTTTTTTTAAAAAAAAAAACCACCAACTTTTTAATGGTTCCAAGTAAAATTTGCATAAAAGATCTGAAAAAGAGCAAAATTGTCTCCCTGTCTCCGAGCTAACATAAACAACACAACACCTACGTTGTTCTCTTTCGTTCATTCATTCATTCATTCATCCTTCTTACTCTCAGATTTCGTATGGCTCTCTTCTTGAGGCTTGTCATCTTCTGTCTTCGACTCATCAAACGCCATCAACTGCATATCACCAAAAAGACCGAGTTTCTCAAACATGGAGCCAATATATATAAGACACAATTTCTATCTTATTATCAGTGCAAGGCACAGAAGGACACACCGGTTTGATGTCACCGTTTGAAATGCAGTGAACGGCCAAGAACCCGATTACGGCCGGGACTATGTATAACAGAGCAGGCTGCAATAAACAAAAATAGCACACGTTTACTCTTTGTAAGAGCTTGAAAAGCTTTAAGCTTTGATCCTATGCTCAAAATACTTCTTCCCTCTCACCTCTTTCATACAAGCTCTTAAAAGTTCTCCGAGGAAACCAAGTTTAATTGACCAGTTCAAAAACGACAGTATAAATACAAGGAATCTGTGTTTTTGTACCATTGAGAAATAATAATGCATGATGCCCCTCAGATGATTAGGCACTCAATTGATCCATGAAGGAGTATTGAAAATGGAATTCTAAAGCTACCGCTTGGTGAGATGACAAAAGTGTCTTTACTCTTAAGAGTTCAATTAGACACTCAAGTTGCTTCAGTTGCATTATACATTATTTGCAATCGCTTTAAAATGGCCAACGGTCTAAAACCACGTGCAAGACAGGGAAATTCCATGCCATTAAAGACTCCAAAAGCTGGAAAAGAGCTCTGCTAATCTGCTTCTAGTTGCTATTGCTTCAATTAAGCAAGCAAGTTTCCCTAATGGCATCTTAAATGACAAATCCTTCCCAGGATTGAAAGAAAACAAGCTAATAAAAAAACTACTAACCTGTGCAGCTTGGAACCAGTTCATGACTATAATTGTGAGTATGACACCAACACTGTATCCAGTAAAAGCACTAGTGAAGTACTGGGGTTGTTTGCCCCTTGATACATCAAATCTTAGTGCTAGAGCAACGAAAATACCTGAAGGAACACACAAAAGGACGGACGTCAGGTCCAAAGAACATATAATACACCATTTTTCTTACAAATCATGCGTAAAGATTTCAGTAGAAGGTTGTCACAAAGCAGTCATACGCGAGCATTTTAAATATACGAAATGAAATAAATAACATTGCGGAAAAGAAGAGAACCCAAAGGAAAGAAAAAACATGCACACTCAAAGCCTAGCGAAGAAAAGTATTGGCTGTTAATGACAACAGAGAGGATACAATATCTGCTTATGCAATATGTTCCAATTCAACTCAGTAGTCAATCCTACATTCTTTTCCGGAAAAACTAAATAATACTTAAAGAAACCAGCAGTAGAAAACAACTACTCGTATATAGAGGAGAAATCAGTTTTCAACTGCCTTTGAAATGAACAAACAAGACGGTAGATTTTTTATGCATTGAATCAACATACCGGGAATGACAATGTCGCCAAGCCCAAGCATAGAATAAGGTCTTGCTGCATCAGCTGTAGGAAATAGAAGCTGGAGCAAAAAAATGTTCCCAGAATGAGTGTACAAAGTAAATCAAGAGCATTAATCATTTAATCTTGTTAATCAGATTCAGAGAACATTACTAACCTTTATTGGTGCATCAAAGGATTTTGCAACACTAACCATAACTGGGGTGAAAAAGACCCAGAAAATATCATAGAAAAAAAGTCCTACCTGCAGTCATTAACCGCAACACGAATGAATTAAAAGAACAGAAACAACAAAGAGATTTGAGAGGCAAATTCAAAAAGCCAGAACAGATAATCCCTTGTTACCAAGAGGATAGCACCAGTCTTAAAAGATCCAAGAGAGAGCATCTCGATTCCCTGTGATGGTTAAACTGTTAATAACATGTACCACTATAAATCCAACATATACAAGTGTCAACAGCAAAGCTACATTCTCTTCAGAATTAAAAATTTCAGGCTACAGCCAATAAACAACAGTCAGAAAAAAAAATGTTAGCCAGCCAATGCTTTCTCCGAGCTTAACCATGCACAAACGGCATTATATTTGTCAGCTCAAACACAAACTAACCTGAATGCAGAATGCGAGACCAAGAATATTGTTAGCCAGCCAATGTTTTCCCCAAACATACCATGCACAGAAAAACGCTCCAGGGATCGCAGCAACAACCTGCGACTTTGTAAACTCTACCTCCAAAGCTGTTTAAGAAAGGCATCAAGAAAAATATTATTCTGCATGACTCGAGCAAGATAATCAAATGGATTGACCAATAAAAGAAAATAAACATGCAAGCCCTTCCAGATGAACATTTGACCCACCAAAACAGCAGTTAAAAATGCTGATATGAATCGACAAACACAATGTGTAGAGAAAATATGAACCATAAATCACAGTGAACATTGCAGCTATTTGAACAGAGACCACAATTTCAAGAAAACAGTTAACGAACACAAGGAGAGTCAAAGAGTGAGCGAAGATAATAACATACACCGAAAATAAGGAAATCGCCAGACAATAACATTGTCATTCCAAGGCTGTGGTAAAAATCTTTTGATGGCCGGTAACAGTGTTGCCCTGAAAAATACATAATTAAACACAGAATAAGCCACAACAGCCCATTGGCTTGAAAAATACATAATCTGTATTCGAAACGTCTGTTATTATGTGTCACGACATAAAAAAGGGACGTACGAAAGAGCTATGATCCCGAGCACAAAGAAATAGGCTGTGAGGACAGCATTGACCAAGTCTTTCGAGAAAAACTTGAACAATAGGAAAAGGGAAAGCAGCATAGCACTTCCAACAAATGGAAACCGCATCGCATGTTCGTTAGACATAGTCTCCTGCATATTACCAAACAGCAAGCATTCAATCGATTTTCCTTCTAATGGATAACAAAAGGGTAATTATACACTAACAACATCTGGTTTTGATGTCTTACTGTTGGAGGAGTTGACTTCACAGACCGATAGCAACCCACATAAACTGTGAGGCATGCTGTCAGGATAACGTTCAAATTTGGATCTACGTTGATAACAAGTGGTGCCATTGCCAAAACTGCAAGCAAAAACAGTCACGTTACTACCATTTAACCATTTTTGTTTTAAGTGAATCACATCTTCGAACCGATTAAACCCAGAGAAATGAAGTCGGAGGCTAATCAATGCGATGAGTAAGAGAAAATTGTTGATGAGAGGGCCACCAGCATGATTAGACAGAAACCAAAACCCTAGAAGATCCAAACTAAATCCGAGATCCTATCAACGAGCCAGGATAAAGCCCATGAAGCAGATCGCAGGAAAACTTCTGAACCAACACTATCAAATTAACCATCATGTAGATCCTCGATCCAGAAATCAATACAGGAACACACACTCGTATAATCGCAGCTAATACACGCCTCAAACAAAAGAATCCAAACAAGAAAACATTCGTGTAACAGTTACAACCACCGAATTAAAACCCAAAATCCGAAATAACGAGATAATTGAAGTAAATAGCGAAGAAGCGAAACCTGCAAGAGCGAAATTGGCGATTCTCTCACAAGTCATCTTGTTCCTCTGTTCTAAGATAAGAAAACGACCAGTTTCCGTCAACAAGATGCCAAAACCAAACCCTAACGCAGCCAATAACGGTACCTCCGGAGAGATTTTAACCGGAGATTATAGACAAGGAGATCCGGTGGTGGGGCCAAGTGCTGAAATTCCACAAGATCTGATGGAGAACCAGAGATAGAAGAAACGAAGAAATGAAGACATAAAAATGTTTATCGAGAATATAAGATTACGGGCTGTGACAAATATCTTATGTGACAGACAATAGTGATTGGCTTAAAACCTCGTTATTACAAAATAACCGAGTTTTGATTGGTTGGAAATGACATTCCATCACCAAAGCGAAGGCGTAATCTGCTATTTCCCTTTAGTAACTGATATTTTGCCCCTCCAGCTATGACGATATTCGTAGAGGGAGGAGGCCACGTCAGATCCTTCGCTTCTGCTGAGTTGGCAATCTCTTATTGGTTGATTGCATGTGGCGTTTGACACATCACCAAAGCAGTCAAAATCTTGTGTTTGAATAGAAAGCAGCTAATAATTTTTGTGAGTTTGACTTGACTATTGCAAAATATTAGGAAAGAAATGTGATTTAATCTCCAAATTATTTTTGATTATATATTGTCATATCTAAAATTATTTTATCTGTTTTATTATCTCAGTTTTTTATTTTCATATTTTATTTTTATTTAACATAAATATACCATAAAATTTCACTATATTTAAATATAATATGAATCATACCGAGTAAATATATTAAAACTAATTGTATATTTTAAAACTTTCGATTTCATATTTAAATTGTAAATTTTTTTATGATAGTACGTTAGTGTTTTGTATTAAAATATCATATCAGATATCTGAAATGCGTTTCAAAAACATTTTCATTTATTAAAATATATAATACATAATAAGTTATATTAAAATTATATTATTTATTTGAGAAGCATAATTCTATAGATTAAGCATTTCCAATTTTTATAGACTTTAGGATTTATATATTGAAATTTAGTGACTTAAACTAGGTAAAAATTATAGTGTGAGAGATTGCATAGAATTTAAACATATTTATTTTGTAATCAAAACTGAATTCGAAACAAAATATTCAATTGCACATAATTTTTACAGGTTAAGAAATAAAAAATATTGCTGAAACTCAAAATATCCATCCTTAAACTATATTACATATTATATACGATTATTTGTTTACAAATAACTTACATCCTGCTGTCAACTGTCAAGCTTCCTTGAATCGGTCACCTTCGACTGTTTTTTACTCGGCGTAGTTTGTCAATTGTTGCGTTAGGTAGTTGGGTTTATGGTCCACGATATCATGTCATTCGTCCGATCCTGTGAACTGTGTGAGACGTTGCGGAGTCCGGTCCGAAGATTCAAGGATGGGTTCCTGTCGTTATAAAAAAAATGTATATGCGTTGTTTTTTTTTTATAAAATGTGTTTGTTGTATTAATTCCAAAATCTCAAACGAGAAACGTTAATATGGTATTTTTTAAAGAAATAGCAAAATACAAGGATTTCATAACAAACGGACAAAAAAGAACTCGGATAGCTAATTAATGATATACCCAAGTTGTATAATTTCGTCATCTCCCATGGCTACCGATTTTCTATAAAAAAAGATCAAATATTTCGCATGGCTCTGTCAAACTGCCTATGTAGTTCATAGATATGCCTCTTTATCTGCTTCCATGTCTTACCATTCGAGATAGACGGTTGTTGCAGCCATGACAAGCAGCTGGTCGGATCCCGCATGACGAAGGGGTGGTTTCCATTGAGCTTTCCTGCGTACTGTCACGTGAAGAACAGGTGCGTGTGGTCCTCGGTTTTTCTGTAGCAGAAAATACACCTGTTAGGTCCAAATATTGTGAAAATCGAAATACCTTTATATTATTTTCGAGAATTTTCAAAGTTTAATATAATTTCGTAGGTTTTCCTTTTAATAAATGCTTTAACATTTAAAGAAACATGTATTTACACACATACATACACTTTCACGCGAGAAAAGAAAAGGCCCAAAGACCTAACGTACTCGATTGTGTTATATATTGATGTATCTATCTACACGTGACAAATGTTCCCAACTTTAGTTATCTACTGTTTCTGGGCCCAAACTCTAAGCAATATGTCGTTGACATAATCAAATTTTTTTTATTTCATATTCGACCACAGTGGGGTTGAAGTAGCAGTAATAACAGGATTATAATTGGAAAAAATATATATTTTTTTCAAAATTTAGAATCAAAATGTGTAGAAATATAAATATTTTAATTATTTAATATAAAGTATATTTTAAATATAAATACTTGCAGACGTTATTAATATGTACTCAAGAAAAGTATCATATTTTGATGGTTGAGGAAGGATCATGCTTATATCTGTGACTAAAAATGATGGCTTTTGGAAAGCTAAAATAGATATCTATAATGTTTTTTTAAAAAAAGATTATTATTGATCACATTTTTTTTTGGTAAACAATTATTGATCACTTTTGGATATTAATTAAGACTACTTTTATTATTTTTTCATTTTCTATATTAATAATTAAATTATTATTAGACTGTAAACATCTAAACCTAAAATGACTATTTTGATTATTAATCGAATAGTTGAATCGAAACGAAACGAATAAGATATAATCATAACCGAACCGAATCTGATATAAAAATTGAACGTTTATGATTTTTTTAAATTTGAAAAAATCAAAATTGAATCGATTAAAAAAATAACTGAAAAAACTGGCAATTGTTTTGAAAAAATGAATTTTTTACAATAAAAATACGATTTCGAATCAAATTGAATCAAATAAAAAAAATAAACGAACTGAACCAAATTAAAATTTATATAAAAATTGAATAGTTATAGTTTTTTTATAATCGAAATAATAAAAAGGGGGAATATGATTGACTCTGCTTTCTTTTGGACAAAGACACGTCATTTATAGTCAAAGCCCATCATATCATGGATGACGAAGCTATACGATTTTCCACCACAGAGAAAAATAAAACAAAAACATTGTTCAATTCTTTATGATGCGACCAGAAATGTTTTGATTTAAGTTATTTATTAAATGTATCTTTTATGACTAGATTTAGACATATTTGAGTCATAATTCTGTAATATACTTAATATCTTTATGATTAATTATGAAAATTTCATTCTTGGTAAAAAAATATAGATTTGAAAAATAATAAAAAACATAACGGTCATTAGATTTACATTTTTTTTAAGTCATGAAGACTATTTGCCTTATTTTCTTTAATTTATGGTCATTAAATCTAAATATTTTTCACGCGTACCTTTCTAATATTAAATAATTGAATGATCAATTGTAAAAAAATAATTTCAAAGACAAACTTGGAAAACCAAACAAAAATAAAGAAATATATATATTTTGTCTCAACTGGCCAAAAATTATTCTACCAAAAAAGTTCAAATTCTACACACAAAAAAAAACTGGCAAAAAATTATCGAATCGAATAACTATTCCATTTAAAAACAAATTGGTACGACGTCCAAATACGATCATAGTGGATATACATTACATAAAAGTATGCGATTCTGGACAACAATATATTTTTATATATATTTTTTTTTATGTATATGTATATTTATATTATAACTGCGGGGCTGAAAGCGAGAGAATGGTGGAATGGACCGGAGTGGTACAAGGAAGAGAAGAGACAAAAACAAACAACATTTTGTCCGTTCAAACCACATTATATATATTTATATAAGCAAATGCCTCTTAATTATTAATACTAATTAATTTAATTATTTAAACTAATTTAAAAAATTTAATCTTAAATATTTACGTTTGTATAAAATTACAAAATTAATCTTATTTATTTAAAATAAATTAATTCCATTTATATAATCTTAATTAATTAAACCAATTCACATATAATTAAAAAAATTAATGTTAATTTTACATATTATTTATTGTTTTTATATTAGCAAAACTTAATAATTGATTCACATCATTACCGTTGTCATACTAAATATTTTATATTTGACTATATATATATGTGGATATATTATATATAACATCACACTTTCACATGAGAAAAGGCCGTTTCAGTGTTGGACCACCTACTCGATTGTGTGTGTGTATTCGTAGTGGGGCCCAACTCTAGGCATCATTTCGTTTTCGTTGATAATATGAATTTCTTTAGTTCATATTCAACCAACCACACTACTGGAGTGGTACTAATAACGGAAAGAAGCATGTCATAGATATTAATAGAAATTTTATTGTAAAAATATATAGAAATATAATATATAGTAATTATTTGATATAAATATTTTAGAAATAAAACTAAAAAAAAATCTAAATATGGCAGATTTTTTAAATTGTGCAATTTTTAAATTTTTTTCACTTTTATCTCTTAAATTATATTGTTAATATTTTTAATATAAATGCTTGACATAAATTTTCCAGCTAAATAATATTCTAAAATGTATGAATAGGATATTTAAATTTTCTTATATATATATATATATACATATACCTTTCTTTATGATTCCGAATAAGTTTTAGCTGTAATCAATTAAAAGAAATATCTATTTTTATAATAAATCAACAGAATTAAAAATCTTAAAATTTTAAAATATTCAACATATTTTAATTTTAATTTATATCAAGGAGTATTAAAACTCAAAAATATTTTTCTTTATGCGAATATTAATATTAATGGCGATCATGACAATCACAGAAAGGGTTCTACATTATCCACCACAGACAAATATGGGGGGGGATTCAGTGGAGTTTGTTTATAGAATCTGACTTTTTTTTTTTGAATAATTTCTGCTTTCATTATTAAAATCAACAAAAATTCTTTAAAATGGTTAAAAAAAACTTATATTATAGTATAATTATTATAAGCTTTTTTTAGTCACAGTCATTACAAAAATTGAGGATGTGTGTCTAATGTATAACTTATTCGGTTATTAGTAAATATTACACCATATTTTTACTTAAACATACGACAGAAGTCAAACGCGTAATTTTAATATTATAATTCAAGTATTACTATTAGGCAGTTATAATTTTAGAATTTATGATTTCATTTTAAAATATATTATATATTATTAATAAAATTGTGTTATGGCATTATGGAGATTATATTCATCCTTTTTTAGATTTTTATTAAAAAAAAAGGGCAAAATAACCTACGTTACTGGTATAACCATAAGTGGGGGGCATTTAATAATATTTATAACCCCATCGTCAACCTCCGTTCTCTCTCTCTAGAAACGTTGACGAACTCGACCCGACCCGGATCCTAACGCTTGCACGGATCTGTCTCGCTCGCTCGCTCGCTGACATGAAAACTTGCCCTCTTTTCGTGTCCTGGTAACGCCTCTGTTCTCTCTTTTCATGTCTGTTTTAGGACCTCCTTTTTGTTTTGGTTGGTCGGTTCTCTCTCTCTCTCTCGGGCGTTCTGTCGCTGTGCATGGCGTCTCTGATGTCTGATCCACGCTTATCTGTCACTTCACTCTTCTAGACACATTGTAATTCTTCGATATCTCTCCGATTCTTCGGCTTTTTCTCGTGCTTCTCTCTATTGTGCAATTCGTCCGGTGAAACGAATTATTCAATTTCAAATAACACGTAATTTTTCCAATTGACAAAAACAAAACCAAAATACAAAAGAACTCCAAATTTGACCAATGAAAAGCGAAAAAAAAAAGGTAAAAGATTTTGGGCGAAAGATACTTAAATTCCCAAGTTTCTAAAACAATTCCAACTTGACAAAAACAATATACAAAAAATTAAAAAAAAAGAACTCCAAATTTGACCAATGAAAAGCGGCAAGAAGAAAGCGTCGTTTCAACATTTGGTGATACGTTTCATGCCGTTACCGTATAAGATGCGAATCATTATGTGCAGTAAGTGGTCTGTGAAGCGAGATTGATAGAATAGGGTTCTTGGATCGTGATTGATTACTTGTGATTGAAGTTAGTAGTGGCAGAGATGATAATGAGAAAGAACATGGGTCGTGTATCGCCTCTGCTTTTGGTCCTTCTATCTCTCGGGTTTTCGTTCGCAACGTATAACCTGGTGACAATGATATTAAGCAATAAGGCTTCGAGTTTGGGACGGGAGGCTATCGATTTGGTTGATCATGCCAATGGGGTGGGCCGTGGGGGCAGGAAACTAGGAAGGGAGAACGAGAATGTGAAGTTTCATGTCGCTCTCACCGCAACCGATACAGCATACAGCCAATGGCAGTCCCGGATAATGTATTATTGGTATAACAAAGTCAAGGACATGCCTGGATCGGATATGGGGAAATTCACTCGGGTTTTGCATTCCGGAAAAGATGACAATTTGATGGACGAGATCCCTACTGTCGTCGTTGATCCTCTCCCAGAGGGTTTAGACCGGGTAAGAGTCCGTAGATCTTTGGCGTTTCGGCTTCATTGTTTGTCACTGTTGTATGTGTGCACGTAAAGATCACACCTTTGAACAGACATTTGAGTGTTTAGCATTGTTCTAAGGTTGTAATGACTCTTAGTGTCGACTTGATCTTATGAATAAAACAGATGTTTGAGGTAGGAAATTCCATCACAGATTGTACGAATTGATTGCACCTTGTAAACATATGTTTGCTCTGCCATATTATTTTATGTCGAGTTCAGGTTCAATAACGACGAAGGACATGAAATTTTCACTCTTTTGCTGTCAGTATATGACTGGCTACTCGACATTGGTTTTGCTGTCTGATCTTTGCCTCTTTGTATGCCACTGGTCTCTCTCTGTTCTTCCCTCTGTTCTTTGCAGGGTTACATTGTCTTAAATAGACCATGGGCGTTTGTACAGTGGTTGGAAAAAGCATCAATCGAGGAAGAGTGAGTCCTTTTTATCTACAGATTAATCCAATTCCCGATACAAATCTCTTCTGTTCTTGCAACTTGAGAATTATCATTCTGTTCTGTGGTCAATCCAGATATGTTCTGATGGCAGAGCCGGACCACATATTTCTAAGGCCTTTGCCGAACTTGGCTCGAGGGGACCACCCCGCTGGATTCCCCTTTTTCTACATTAAGCCAGCTGATCATGAGCAGATTATCCGGAAGTTTTATCCCGAGGAGAAGGGTCCTGTCACAAATATCGACCCGATTGGCAACTCTCCCGTGATTATTAAGAAGGTACGATCACACATGCTCCAAAAACTTGCATTTGGTTGTATATTATTCTTGATATAATCTCTCTGGATATTTCCTGTTGTATAGTCCATCCTCGAAGAGATTTCGCCCACATGGTTGAATGTTTCCTTGAGGATGAAAGATGATCCAGAAACAGACAAGGCATTTGGATGGGTTCTTGAGATGTAAGAAAATACATGAGTTGTTCTTATTGAATTCCAATTTTGTATGGCTACCAGTCTTTTGACGTATTTACTTCGTCAAATCAGGTACGCGTACACCGTGGCATCAGCCTTGCACGGTGTGCGTCATATACTTCGCGAAGATTTCATGTTACAGGTAAACATCCTTTGTTTCATTCTTGCAACATAATTTCCTTTTTCTGCCATCTAAAGCAACAACTTTATCTTTTTTTTCGCATCGTTTTTATGCTGTAGCCACCATGGGATGTGGAAACAGGGAAGAGCTTCATCCTTCATTATACTTACGGGTGCGATTACAATTTAAAGGTAAAAACTCATCTCTGAGGGCACACGAATCTTCGGATTTTGCGCTCTAACATCAGAATAGCGTCACATTTCTGTGTCGTGTGGTGATGATTACACCAGGGTGAGTTGACATATGGGAGGGTTGGGGAATGGCGTTTTGACAAGAGAGCTTTCCTTAGCGGACCGCCACCGAGAAATCTCTCGCTGCCCCCTCCGGGAGTACCCGAGAGCGTGGTGAGTACAACCCGATAAAACTTTACCGGATTGATCAAGCTCCCTTCAAGGAGAGGCTGAAATATGTTCATGATCCTAGCATGTTGTCTTTGGATGTCGGGTCATATGCTTCATCATCTTTTCAAGATGATCTTCATAATGCATTCTGCAGGTGAGGCTTGTGACAATGGTCAATGAAGCGACGACTAACATCCCGAGGTGGGACACTCTGAACTGACAGCAACAAAGATCAAAAAGGCGATCTCACAAGTTAGATAAGGAAACCACAGCTGGAAACATTTCTCAGGGCAGAAGACATATTTGACATTTTTTTTTTGTAAATGAACACACATTATTACATATCTAACTTCTTTCTGCTTTTACTAGGAAAGCACAGCTATTTTCTTCTGCAAACTCAGGAAAACGTTTATGATTATTATACAGAGTTCAACATGCTTCAGATCTGTCTTTAAAGGACATCATAGGTAGATATGCCAGTGAAAATGTTGGGTTTTCAGTAAAAGGAAATAACTGGGGCAAAGTGAATTGCAGCGGTGGGAGGACTTGAACAGGGAACATAATTAGAAAGAGAAAATGGAAGAAGAAAAAAAACAAACAAGGGTTTGAAAAATATAAAATAAACATTTTGGTTTAATTTTTAGATTTGATAGGTAATATATATATATATATATATATATATATACAACTGTGGCCAGAGACCGTGCTTGCAAGTACTTTGGGCCTTGTCGTTGCATTTTATTGGCCTCATGGGTTTCTTAGATCTGAGTTATTTTTAGCCCAAAATAGAACTTTCCTTCGATCATAAATCTTTGGTTAAAATTGTTTTTTGGGTTTAAACAAATGGACACGGATTTGGAACCAAATTGAAATCCAAACTAAATTCGGTTAATTTTATTCCACCTAATGTTTTTGCAGGTTCAGAGATTGCCCTTTTCTTTTCATACCAAATTCACTCTTTCAATTCAACCAACAAGCCATTCATTTGACTGAATTCCCCTTTTTGGTCTTTACTTTTTAACCAACTTAATGGTTAATATACAAATCCAAAACATTATTATTTCTGCATTTCAAGGATTAGAGATGAGGGTACAAAGTCTGGTTTTACCATCTCTAACAAATGGGTTTTCACATCTTCCGAAGACCTGCCTCTGAATCAGATTTGCTCTAGAGTGCTGCAATACATTCGATCTCGATCTTGGCGTCTAGAGGCAAAGCTGCGACCTGATACGTTGATCGGGCTGGAGAAGGAGACGGGAAGTCTGCCGGGGAAAAACAAATGGTTTGGTCACATGGATGCTTACACTCGACGAGTTCAGCGATCCAGAATGAATGAACAACCAAAAAAATAAACTGATATATGCATCAGAACAGCATAGAATCGGATAGTTTCCCGTTTAAAGAACTCACATTTGGCATAAATCTCGTTCACTTTCTTGAAGTCTTTCAAGTCTGCCAGCCTGTGACGAAATTCAGACAGGGTCAGTTGGGCATTAGATTCACAATCCCTCAATGATCAAGATTGCGATGAGACAAAACAAGATCCCTACATGATTGTTGTCTTGACCACAGAAGAGTAGTCAGCGCCACTAGCCTTCAGTATCTCCCCCATGTTCTTGAGTACCTGAAAGTTTCCATAAAAAATCAAAATGCAAAGAACAGGTTACGAGATCGGTTTGTTAATAATACCCTCACAAAGCAAGAGAAAACTCGACATTCAATACGCATCTTAAGACCAGTCTGATTACCATTATACCATAGCAACAGATAATAAGCAGTTATTGGGAGACCACAGTTTCATCCATCAAAGCACATTATCTATACATCTTTCAAACTTCAGCATAAGCCATTCAGATGCACTAGAATTGCAAGCATCAAGTACTAGGAACAAAGATAAGTCCTTCAGTGAATTCAACAGAGTGAAAGTTACTTCACCTGCTCAGTCTGAGCTTCCACGTCGTCCGAGACAAACTTGCCAGTCTGTATAAACAAAGCGATTCTTGCAATTTCAAGACGCGGATAGGACAAAACGATATCACAACTGCCAATCAGTCACAGGGAAACAAACCTCGGGTATGAGTCCAAGAACACCCGACACGAAAACAAGATTATTGGCTTTGATGGCCTGAGAGTATGGTCCCAAAGCCGCTGGAGCTTTCTCTGTGACAACTGCTTCTTTCTTACCTGCAATACCTTTCATGTCTAATTCTCATCACAATATATACCAGATATCATCATGGTTCAATAAAAAAACCAACTGTTCAAACATCAAACTTGCGCAAAAGAGGCAACAAAAGGACAACCCAAATATTTATCAAATACTCGAAGCAAAATTTTCAAACACTATGAGTAATAAAAGCAACCAATTCATCCTAAGGATTGATTGTTCTTTGAAAATAGCGACGACCCAACACTGCCAAATACCAAACAAATACTTTTTGATGAAATTAACAAACATATCCTTGAAGATAATTCGTCGTAAAACAGAAGCAATACAAGTAAGTTCAGTTCCGGCAATGATTATTCTGCAAAGAAAACGAACATCCAGGAGTAATGAATGTATGCTTGGAAACATCACGATGCGATACAAACAACAAGAACAGCATTGACTAATCTTTAAAGGAAACGATGACCCAATACTAAGGAACATTTACTAAGATGATTCGTCACAATAAGATTATTCTTTTCTAAGAATTGATTATTCTTCGAGGCAACGAAGAAGATAATTCGTCGAACAACACGAACGACTCAAGCAAAAAATTCACTCCTAGCATCGATTTTTCAGCGAAAACCCATCGGAATTGATACAAATTTCCTCGTTCTATTTCTCAGTCGACCGGCACAGTGAAAATCAGAATATGGTCGCTGATATCAAACACATACATTAACAGAATTTGAGGGACATCAATATGAACAGAAATCCCCAAAGAGAGAGAAAGAGAGGAAACGATAAGTCACCAGCAGCGGCGGAGACGCTCAGGGAAGCGAAAGGCGGAAAGGTCAAACTCCTCCGCCAGAGAGAGACGCCGGCGAAAGTGAAGCAGCCGACTCCGGCGACGACCAATGGGCCGGACGAGCGAAGTGCGGCGGAGAAGTCTAGCATCGGAGATCGGAAGGATCTGATGGATGAAGACATGGATGTGCGGAAATGACTCTCTCTCTCGGGATCGAAGTGCCAAGGAAGAGAGGAAAGTTAGCGGAAGAATGGAGGTAGGTGAGGTTTCCGCAAAGGATTTTAAGCAGGTGATTGTCGTTTCACATATCGTCTTTAAAATTCCGTCTTATTCCTATTTTACCCCTACAAAATCGAGAAAAATACATATTTACCCCTTCAAATACGACACAAAATTGAAAAAATGACGCTTTATGACGAATTATTCAATTTCAAATAACACGTAATTTTTCCAATTGACAAAAACAAAACCAAAATACAAAAGAACTCCAAATTTGACCAATGAAAAGCGAAAAAAAAAAGGTAAAAGATTTTGGGCGAAAGATACTTAAATTCCCAAGTTTCTAAAACAATTCCAACTTGACAAAAACAATATACAAAAAATTAAAAAAAAAGAACTCCAAATTTGACCAATGAAAAGCGGCAAGAAGAAAGGTTTAACTTCAGGTTAATGTTATTTAAATTCTAATATTTTAATAAAAAAATCCACGTAGGTTAAGTGGAATATGTCCCATTATTATCACGTTGAGATACAAAAGATTGGAGCAAGTATTTATGGTTTGAGTGATATAGTTGTAAACATACTTCGAGATGCCGTGCTTCCAATTTGATCAATAACCCAATCAATTCGACCAGGGTAACACATAACTATAATTAAAACATAATCTCATATAAAAACAAAATTATTTTAATTTTCGTTTAGAACCAAAAATATCAAACGATAACGAACAAAAAAAATAACGGAATATATTCGGATAACATAGGGAAAAATCCCTCAAAATTCCTAAACTTGTAATTTGGTATAATATGAATTCCTAAACTTGCAGAGGTGTCTATTAATTTCCGAACTTGCAAAATTGAACATGATAATTACTGAACTTGTTAAACCGTTCCATATCTGTCATCAACATTAATTTGTCAAACAAACACGTTGACCTATCCGACGTGGCGCGTGTCGAACCAGCTCAGAAAATTTGTGCCACGTGTGTAATTCTCGGTACACTCAAAACCATTTCAAATTTTAACACACAAACAAACCGAACCGGACTGCACACTCAAAACAGGGGTAAATTAGTAAACACTTTTTATGAAAAATATGATATTAACAAAAAAAGCATAAATGAAGTGGAATTAATGCTGATGACAGATATAGAACGGTTTAACAAGTTCAGTAATTAGTGTTCAATTTTGTAAGTTCGGAAATTAATAGGCACCTCTGCAAGTTTAGGAATTTATATTACACCAAATTACAAGTTTAGGAATTTTGAGGGTTTTTTTTCCAGATAACATAACATGTACGTAACTATAACTAAAATAAAATTTGATATAAAAAATAAAATGATTCTAATTTTTTAAATGGTATATAAACATATGATTCGATTATATATATATATATATAAAGAATCACTGGATTCAAACCCGACAAGAAATGTGGATGGTTGTGGTTTGTTGTTGTATAGTTTTGATCTATAGATCTCCTTGCATAATAGATATTGTAGACACCAAATTATTTTAATTAATTTTTGTGCGTGTTCATGGAAAATCTTAGGAAATGGGTGGAACATCTTTAGTTGTTTTAAATAAAAACAAAATGAAACTATATATTTGAACCAATCTCTATCTAATATTTCATTTGGATACGATTTTTATAAAACCAAATTAATTAAATCTAAACAATATTGGAACTAAACCAAAATGAACTAAGTTGAATAATATTTCGAATGAATTTAACAACACCTAAATTATTTTATAATTTTAATTATAAAAGTTAGAAAAAAATACGATACATAGTTAAAATTATATAGTTACTAATTTTCAATAATTTTATATTAATAAATAAATAAATAAATTTTCATATACCCTTTCTTTCAAGTAGAAACCGAAATTTTCTGCCGATCAATACTTCTTTCACTTCACACGCGAGTTTGAATTTCAAATGACTTGTAAAAAGTTCTCAACTGTTTTTACCCGTTAAAATATTGTATGCATTTTCTGTTAAAAATAACATAATTTAGAGTTTTATGTAATTTAGGTTTTTGGATTTAAATATAAAATCAGATGTTTTGGTAATTAAATGCATGTGGGAGTGGTGGAGAAGCCTTTCAATCTGAATGGGCATTTCATTTGTTTATTATATTCTCATGTGGGGTCACCATGGAACATGGGCAAACCCTTTTATAACATTTTTTTTTTCATCCAATAGAATAAAATTTATTTTTAAAATTGTATAAATATTTCTTCTTTTTAAATAACATTTTTACTCGCAGTTTTGTCATATTTTTTCGTTCTCTTATACCACCTTGGTTTTGATGAATCAAAACAAATACATTTTTTTTAATTTGATTTATCTAATCACGTTTAATTTATTGAAGTCGTTATAATGTTAATAGTGATTATTAACGTGATTAGTTTATTCTTTTTCTTCTTTACTGATTTTTTTTTTTGGTATTAATCATTTTAGCATTATCATTATATGCATCTAAATTTATCTCTGAATTATTTTCAAGAAAAAATCGTGAAAAAAGGTTTTTCTTTTTTTTATCCTGAACTAAACAATTTTCTTTTAGAATTTACGCAAAAATACTTAAAATAATTGCACAAAAGTGATGAAACGGTACAATAGATATACGTTGAGATGGAACAATCTTCTTTCTTTCGACGATTTAATAACAAGAAAAAACTATCAAATTATCCTATTTATTTATGCATGTGAACAAGAAACTATCAATGGTGGTAACATTTAATTATTTGACTATTGATTGTGCCATTTAATTCTTCCATCATAAAATTTAATCAATTTTTTTTTTATAAATGGCCTAACTAGATATACAATTACACATTTCAATCTTTGCGTCTATACCAAGACTGATCAAATTAAATTTAGATTAAATCGAATCGCGATCGTGATTGCATAATCTACATAAGTCCAAATGGGTATCTTGTGTTTGTTTTTAAACCCCTTTAATTTCACAAAATGACAACTGCCACCAAGAAATCGATACGTACTCTATTATTTCCATCCCATAATATATATATATATATATCTAAGAGGAAAAGGTATAATTAGAAACACGTTTTCTACAAATAGGGCAAGTCCCTTGCCTAGTCAGCCATGCATCTATGCAGTTGACATGAAATGCATGCCCACATCCCAGCTTTCTCCCCTCCTCCCCAATCTTCCATTCCTACACCATAAATAGAAGAAATACTTACCGTTCCGTATTTATATGTAGACGAAATAAAAATCATCTAGAAAACAATTGGTATGTCATTTCTTAAATCGAATCAGAACTAGATATAAAAATAAATTGAAATATTTTTCTAAATAAAAGACATTGTCAGCGGTTGTAAACTTATATATAATTTCCATACCTGTAAGCAAATAGAACAGTCCGAATGGATTTGGTGATCGAAACAGTTGTTGAACACAGGAAGTCTTTGGATGTCGTTTCTCGATAAACATCTTATGCCTCCATTGATATCGTACATGTATTCCGAGATCTCTTGGAAGCTTGTTTCCATTTCCATCGTCTGCATTTTTTTTTTGTTTTGGTTTTTGGTTAGATTTTCTTTTGGTATATATAAATGAAAACATGAGACACAAAAAAAAAATGTAGTATATCCGTTTAGAGAAGAAAGGCTTCGTATATATAATGACATTGTTAATTTATAGGTATGCATAAATGTGAATATGAATATAACAAGAAAATTCAAAAACGAAAAATTATTTACAATTTTTTTTTAATGAAAATCATATGGAACTAATCCCGATATAAAAATCTAATCTATATAATATTTTTTGAAAACTAGAAAACTTTAATCCTAAAGGGATACCCAGTGTATCCGCTTCAATTATAAATTCCGTATATATGTGTGTATATATATATATATATATTTAATGTAAATATGGTACTGATTAGTTGGGGAGATAAAAAGAAAAAAGAAAAAGACTGACTTGCCACTGATAGGCTTTGAGAATCGCCGGACTTGCCAATTCCATGATTGCCTTCCCATCCACCACTCTCCTCAGCAACGCGACCTCCTGCCCTCAATGAAATTACCAAAATACCCTCACTACTTCGGACACATTTTTCCCTTCTTTTGAATGGAAATGCGATGCACGTTTTGTAAAAAAAAAAAACACACAAAGCGCATAATCAATCATTCATTCAAAATAAATCAATCAATTCATTACATTGGACAAGGGTTGCCCCTCAACCGCCGATTTCAGCGTTTGAACCGCGGTGACCACCCCGACCATGACGCCCACGAGACCGCCTTGGATAAGTCCGGTACCCGTCGTGTGACCTCTCGCCGCTCCTACAGCCGCCGCCACCAAAACGCTGCCTGTATATACCACCCAATGACATTCACAAGAATATATACAAAGGGGTGAACATCCGAGTGAGTGTGTATATATATAAACACTTATTTCTATCTTTATAAAAATTGTAGAATTGAGATTTTGGAACCGCAAACACATTGATGCACAAACTCTACGCACGCTAACGCAATTCTTGTTTTAAGTACTGAATGATCAAACCAAGGTGTTGTTTTGATTCCAATTTAATAATGTAAGTAAATATTTTGAGCGCCTCGCGTGTATACTCGTGTTGTTTGAACACTATCTTATACATACGGCATTTATTCGAAAACGTTGTCCCATTGCAGTGCATATATACACACACACACAGAGCCATATATATATACACACACACGTACACGCCCACATTGATGTGTATAAAAGCATGGACTTGTCAATTAAATATATGTGCGTACGAGTCAAGGCACGAAGTGGTTGTTTTAGTGTAACATGCATGAGTAAATAGTCTCATGCTCCATCCATAGGTAAGATTATGAGTGTAATAACTATTGGTACATATATAATCGGAATCAACAAATCATGGGATGAAAACAAGAAAAAAAAAGGGTTTAATTTACCCGAGGCAAGAATGCCGATGAAAACGCCAAAGACAGCCCTCGCTAAGAATCTCAGCACAAACCATTTCGGGAAACCGGCGATCTCGTCACGAACAAAGCAAGAAACCGCTTCTTTGGACCTTGAAATCATCTGGGCAATGCTCTTTGACAGATGCTTCGACATCTTGAAAGCGGAATCGAGGATATATGTATGTATGTATATGAAATGACAAAAGTTGTGGTAGAGTGTGAGTGTGTTTATGTATTGTGTGTGTGTGTGTTCATGGAATGGGTGAGACAAAAAGATGAGCATTTATAAGGTATATGAGGGCATTTATGGCACTGAGCTGCCGAGTTCATGTATCTATTGGCGCATGCAATGAAACTAGCCCACAGAAAATTTCATATATATATATATATATATATATATGTGTGTATATATATATATATATATATATATATAGAGAGAGAGAGAGATACTGTATGGAATATGAAAAAGATGCATCAAGAATCGTCTACTTGGATCTATAATTTTCTAGTTCTGCAGACATCTAAATGTGCCTGTCATAATAATTTCACGAAAGACTATTTTTTTTTAATAAATATTTATAGAAAAAGATTACGAGCATACCCCGAATTAAAAAACAAAGGACATAAAGTGGTTGTAAATGATGGGCATCAGTTTTACAGATATCTTGGATTTTTATTTGGTCTTGCTTTGATTCGTTTTTTATATAAGTTTTTTGGATATGAATATATATATATATATATATATATATTCATTTTTTTTAATTTTAGATTTCGATTCCATTCAAATTATATTTGAATAATTGGTTTTTCAAATCTATCAAAAAATGGATTCTCCTATTAAAATATAAGCTATCATATTTATATAAAAACACTATTTAAAAATTACTAAATTATTATATTGAAATTGTTTTAATTATTACAGATACATTAAAAACACTTTACACTATAAATTAATCATAGACAAAACAAACCATGAAAATTACATAAACAAGCATTTACTTTTTATTTGAACAATAATAAATCATATAAAAACTATCATTGCTTTTATAAATATGGTTGGCAAAATTATATCTCTGAAAAATATATTTGAATATTTTTAAATAACATTCTTTTATCTTATATTTTTAACCGAAATTATTTTAAAATTTTGTTTTTATTTTATATTTGATTTACATTTAGGATGAAAAATGAATAAAAAATAGTGAATTAAATGATACATTTGTAAATTAGATTCGAAATATGTAATAAAAAATTTCACAATTGAACACATACTGTAAATTAGATTTGAAATATCTAACAAAAATTGTTTACAATTGGACGTATATACAAGAGATCACTTATTTTATATATGATTATACAATTCAAGTATATCAATGTTTAATATTTTTCGATTATAAAAAAAATGTTTAATATTTTCCCACACTTTTTTTTTCAAATCAATAACTATCTTTTTATTACGTATTGTTTTTAGAAAATAAAAAATGTACTGTTTTATTGCTATAAAGGATTTATGATAGGTTTAAAATATAATTTTTTTTGTATAAGTATTAAGGGTTTTCACTTAAATAATAGTTTAATACTTACGATAATTTATTGTTTTTAATAAATTTTTGATGATCCGAACGGACTTTTTTAAATCTCCTGGTTTAAACCATTGTTTGTGTTGATTTTCCCACTTGACCATCAAAATTTGGGTTTAATAAAAGACGACTATTATTAAAAATACTCAATTTCATCATACTTTCTTTCTGTTTTTTTTTCCAGTTATTTTCATATTAATTACGGATTGAATTAATTTGGTTTATAAAAATCATACACAATCGAATTAATCATCGATTCAATTTTATATAACCGAACTCACGTATCCACTCCAATCATGCAATGGAATATCATTAATATTAAAATAAAGAGTTGATCTTTACTCTAATTATGATCTCATCAACTTTTTCTTTGTCACCATCTCATCAAATTTAATTGGAATTGACTTTCGACCATTGTCGTTCAGACAAAACACGATGTTTTGATAAAATAATCAAATCTCATAAATATTATTATAAATTTATTATCCCAATTTCATCGGGAAGTTTCGGTTATTTTTAAATTAAGATATTTATTAAAACTAAATTGGCAAACTCGTATCACAAAAAAAAAAAAACTTAATTTCCTGACATCACATCAAAATGTCAGTGGTTCAATATGAGCTTGCACAGCCTCGGGCTGAAACAGAGGGTTTAAACACATCGTGTCGTCTATGACAGTTTAAGAGAGACGTGAAGACATGCACGAATGACGAAGATGCAACATAACATGTAATTTAGTGAACGTTCATAGCGTTATTGAAAGGGTGCAAAAGGATATGGTAATTTAATAAAGACCCATAACATATAAAATAACCGAATCGTATTTAACAAAAACAGAAATGGAACACAAGTCGAAATCACGAGAATCAAATGTTTCCCCGATTTCAAATTCGTGTAACAATTCCCGAACCAAATCGAAAACCGGTTCTCTCTTTGGTTACATTCATTCATGGATGAGAGAAAGAGGACAGTGAAAAAAAGAGAGAGAACTGCATAAGATTTTCTCGGGCAATATTATGAAATTATTTCTCAAGAGCTAAACTGCTATCAGAAAGTGGACATTAACATTCCGTTCGGTTATACATAAACCGAACCGAATATCATGTACCGGACAATATTCCATATAAAAATCAACGGTTACGGTATTTTTAAAACCGAAAACTTGAACCCGAAACGAATACGAACCGCATATAGAAATAACCAAAAAGATCGTAAATTTCTTTAGAAATTCTCGAGAGAGAAAGAGGCAGGAGAGAGTAATACATAATTAAATTAGATCCAAGAAAAGGTGAGAAAGACTTTGTATAAAATCAATCTTTATAATGAAATTCATCGCTCAAGTATTTCAACTAAAAATCAAAGCGGATGTTCTGCACGAGTTCGAATCTCAAATTTGAAAAAAGAATGTATATTCTGAAAAATATGACTGGCTTCTGAGTAACCATTTGTGTTGACCGCTCAGGACCTTACTCTATGATATCCGGTTACATGGACGGATCTATTCATAAGGTAGTGGGGCACATGCTCCACTTTGTTTATAAAAATGTTTAATTTCTTAAGAAATTTTATAAAATTTTAATTAAATTTGTTGAATGCCCCGTTATAAAATTAAATTTACTCTCTTGTTGTCCCCAATTACAATATATTCTAGGTCCGCCACTACCCGCTTACAAAAAAAGAAAAGTATTTCAACTAAAAATGACGACATAATCGCAGACCAAACAATTATCAAATGAAGAAATTCTCTGTGCAATTCCATAAGGTAATTGTGAAAAGTCCTAACCCCCAGCCACAAAACCCTAAAATCTTTTGTTCAGACAGCCAAATCAAAAGACAACTGTCATATGAGCTTCACCACATATAGATACATAGTATGAACTAAGACACGTATGAGCAGCATGGTACCTTCATAGGATTTGCCAGATCAGGTAAAAGATACATAACATTCACACATATGACATATAAATCCCTGTTATATATATATATATATATATATATATATATTAGTCCTTGAAGCTGCGATATTGACAATGGCAATGGCGGTCCATAAAAGTATCTAACCGGAGGATGGCAGGTTAGAGTACATTGAACAAACACAAGGAAAATTAGAACATATCAACTACGCTGTTTATCAGACGACATAGTTTTCAGTTTTCCTTTTGATCGGATCTACCGGAAAATAGCAAGAAAACGAAAAAGAAAACGATGAATTTCCCAACACTAACGGAGTTTAGAATCCTGGTTCATCGTTTGAAGAAGGTAGAAGAAGCCATAGAACTCAACCTAGCTCAAGGTAAATGATCGAAATTCCTAGGATTTTGAGTATAATAATTTCGAGTTTACCTTAGCGTTTTTGGTCGAATCTTGATGTTTTTCTAACAATATAGGCTACCAAATTAGGAGTCATAGAGAGAGTAAAACCGAAACATTGCCAAGGACCGAAGTGAGAGTATACTCAAACCTCGACTTTTCAATACATTCTTGCTTAAGTTCTTGCATTCTTTGTTAGATTATCACTTTTTTTATAGCTTTCATGTGAATGATCTTGGGGGTGTAAAAAAGCGGCCTATATGGCATTCCTCTAATTACAAAAAAAATTAATTTCTTTGTAAAATTTATAAAATTTTGAATAAAATTATAAAAAGATAACTCAAAGAACACAACTGCAATATCGAAAGTAAAATAACCGTTTCTCAACTGCCTTTGAGTTTTGAGATAGGGACGTCAATCGGGCCGACCCGAGTCCACACTCGACCTGAGGGTTTCGGATTCGGACTCAGACCGGCCCAATTTTTTTCGGGCCTATATAAAAGTCCAAAACCCGGTTTTATATATTTCGGGTTTGGATCGGGCCAGTCTGATCCGCTCAAATTGCTTTGTAAAGTTGTTTTTTTCATTAAGATTTTTTTAAAAAAAATATCGAGCTTTCGGGTCGACCCGAATCAGACCTGAAATCTGATTTAAGCTCAGCCCGAAAGCCCAATTTTTTTGCAGCAAAAAAACTTAGGTCGGAAGCCCGCTATTTTTTGGGTTGGGCGGAACTTGGGACCAAGAGTCTATAAATTGACACCCCTATTTTGAGGCACAACCCAACAACAATCGCATAGTTAGTGGTTGTTTTGAAAACAAATACGTGAATTAGGGAGTATAAAAACGCAAGATGAGACTTAAAAGTGCACATTTGGCCTTTAAAAAGAGTTCTACAGCTAGATCTTGGGCGAGCGTGAGTACGGACTCAGGAAACCGTGGTCGGACTCTTGACTCGAAGGTGTCGGACGTGTGCCGCGTGTGCGAGGATGTATTTTTGTTACGGTCGAGTTCATGTTCCTACGTATTCTCGTAGACATGGGTGTACATCTGGCACTCATGGTTTCCACTTTCCATCGATTAGATGTTGTTATTTGGAGCAATGATTCTTTTGCAAAGACTGTAATTCCGTGGCATTGGAAAAAGTTTTAATTTAATTAATCCGTTTTTTATACTAATCGTATGGTGAAATTTCGTGTAAAAGCATATGAAGAGTCTCATATTCGGGATATATATATATATATATATATATATATAGATTGTGGGGGTCTCATAATTAATTACTTAATCTCTTGATTAAATAATTAAATTAGGCGATGGTCAAGACATCTAATTTGTGGGAAACTGC